GTGAGAACATGTGGTATTCAATTATGTGTTTCTGTGATAGATAACTGAGTAGTATAGACTCTAAAACAGTCCATGTTGTTGTAAAGTTTATAATTTTGTCCTTATTTATGGCTTTTGTCCTTCATTACTCTGTCATGTATGTGTTCCACATTTTTGAATCTAGTCTACTTTTGATGAGCAGCACGATTGTTTCCATGTTTTTGCTATTGTGAATAATGCTGCAAAAAGCACATGTGTGCAGGAATTTTTTCATAGAACAAATTATTTTAAAGAGATTACAACTTATTTTAGATCATAAAGAAACTAATAGAAACAAAGACACAATTAAAAAACTCTACATTTTAACTCTATTTCCCCACAGTTTGACTTTATGTTATCTCAATTTACACATATTTACATTGCCTATCCCTTAACAAATTGCTATTGCTATTATTGTTTTTGATAGATTCACCTTTTTGGCTTCATATTAGAGTTATGAGTGGACTGCACACTATAACTACAGCATTAGAGTAGTCTGGTTTTGTCCATATTTAATTTTACTAGTTGGTTTTATGTCTACAAATGTTTTCTTTTTGCATGTTAGTGAAAATGCCAACTCCCTTCAGCATTTCTTGTAAGAGGGACCTTTGCTCCTTTTAGGACCCTCTCTTTGTCCTTGACCTCTAAGAGTTTTATTATATGCCTTGGGGTAGTCTTATTTGGATCAAATCTATCTGGTGTTCCCTGACCTTTCTGTACCTGAATATTTATCTCTTTCTCAAGTTTTAAAAATTTTTCTATCATTATTTTCTTGAATAAGCTTACTCTTACTCAACTCTCTCTTGAATACCAATAGTTTTTAGATTTGGCCTTTGGAGATAGTTTTCTATATATTGCAGGCAATCTTCATTACTTTTCCTCCTTTTTTCCCTCCTATGTGTATTTTCAAATACTCTGTCTTTGATTTTACTGATCCTTCTCTTTATTTGATCCATGCTGCTCGAGGGCCTCTAATGAATTTTTCAGTTTAGCAAATGTATTTCTCAGTTCCAAGCTTTCTTTCCTTTTTTTTTTAATTTCATTTTTTCTGTTAACTTTATTTGTTACATTTCTGAACTGCTTTTCTGTGTTATCTTGGAGACCATTGAGTTTTCTTAAAACTCCCATTTTGAATTCTTGATCAGAAAGTTTTCGTATCACAGTTTGTTAGGCTAAGTCACTGGCTCCTTGCTTTGTCTGTGTGGGGAGGCCATGGTTCCTTCTTTACTATTGTTTCTTGTGAGTATACATGTATATCTTTGCATTGGAAGATTGGTTATGTATTCCAGTCTTCTGTTTGTCTTGTTTTGTTTTTTATTGCATGTGATTTATCAGAGATTTTTTGTAAGTTACCTGTTGATTTTCCTTCTGTTTCCTATTAGGTAGCTACCTCCTTTCTGCCACTAGATAATGCGTTAAGCCCAGGTTTGCCTTGGTTCCAGTAAACAATCAGAGTGCTGACCTTTCTGAATTAGGACATCCCAGAGGGGATGTCATGGTAGTGCAGGATGGCTGACTAGGGGTTTGTACCTAGGGACCTGTGAAACAAAGCTACTGTAACATGGTGATGCTGAACAGTCACTCTGATTTAGCTTCTTCTTTGGTTGAATTACCAAACAGTTTTCAGGGCTGTAGTTGGTAGTCCAGGCTTTCCCACTTTGTCTCTGGCTGTTCTCAGGGATGTTTCCCTTCAGGCACTCCTAATATTTTCCATAGGTTTTGGAAAGACAGGTCTTTGACATGGAACCAAAGATGGTAAAGAGGTTCATCTCAATCTCACTTTTTCCAGTATAGAAATTGTGAATTGGGAGGGAATTTTCTATATGCTTGTTGCTGGGAAGACTGGAGGAGGGATATGTTGTGAACATGGAAATCTGATCTTGTTACTCTCTGCTTGGAGTTTTTTCACTTCTATGGATCCAGAAACTACTTCTTTTTCATATTTGAGTTCTGGGATATTGCTGAAGATAATCATCATTCTATATATGTATTTTTGATTTTGGGTGGAACAGAGAAGCCACAGTTTGTAGAGACAAGGTCTCACTATGTTGTCCAGGCTGGTATCGAACTCCTAGGCTCAAGAGATCCTCCCACCTCAGCCTCCCAAAGTTCTAGGATTACAGGCATGAGCCACCATACCTGACCCTTTCTTCTGTTATAAAAAATAGTGTTATTGCATTTCCTTATATTCCTAAAAAGTTTATTTAACTTTAATTGTTTTTAACTTGAGAAAAATCTATCATCTAATCTTCTGATTTTCCTTTCTTACATAATATTACATTACTAAGATTCATTCATATTTTTGTACATCTTATTTATTGCTTTATAATAAATTACCCCGCAACTTGGTAGGTAAGAAATAACACACATTCATTATCTCAGTTTCTGTGGGTCAGGAATTCAGGCACAACTTAGCTTCTTCCACTTAAGGGTCTCATGATGCTATAGTCAAGGTGTTACCAAGGCCACATTCATCTCAAGGTTTAACTGGGACATATCTACTTCCAAGCTCACCCAGTAGTTGTAGGCCTCATGGAAACTTAGTTCCTTGTGGGACTGAGGGTGTTGGATGTTTTTTTTTTTTTGAGTTGGAGTCTCACTCTTGTAGCCCAGGCTGTAGTGCAGTGGCACGCTCAAGGCCACCACAGCCTCGACCTACTAGGCTTATCCAATCCTTCTGCCTCAGCCTTCCAAGTAGCTGGAACTACAGATCCATGCCACCATGCCCAGCTAGGGCCTTGGATTTTACCGACTGTTGACCAGAGGTCACCCTCAATTCCTTGAAAGGTGGCCCTCTCCATCCCAGTATGTGGTAAGAGCCAGGTAGAGAATATAGACCAAAGTCACTGTCTATTGTAATCAAATTGTGACATCCCATCACTGTTGCAGTATTCTCTTTGTTTGAAGTAAGTCATTATGTCCTGCCCACATGCAAGGTGAGGAATTTACACAAGAGTGTGACACCAGGAGGCAGAGGTGGGGCATTGGGAACCTTATCAGAAGCTGTCTACTAAATCATATGCCTCTGTAATTTATTTATTTGAACTGCTGTGTATCATTTTGTATGAATTATTACAGTTTATGCTCCTGTCCCTGGCCATTGGGTTTTCCTCCCAGGAATTTTTGCTGTTGTGAACAGCGATGCCACAAATATTCTTGTACATATGAAGGGACTATAGTACTTTTCTTGGAATCATTCCCAATTTGATATGTATCCTGCTAAAGTGAGCACTATGAAGACATCTTTGATTGGATTATTTTGTACTTCATAGGCATGATGATTGGCTTTTCACACTCATGTGTGAGATGTGGTTCCCTTAAACCTTATTATCATATGGACAAATTACCCATCAGGTGTGTGTGGGGGGAAGACACATTTGATTAACTCTACCTGAAATTAATTGCATCCATTCTAATGTCCCATAGCATTTCTTTTGTTTTGGTATTTATTACTTGTTACCGATTATTACACTTATTTTGTGCATGTTATGTTTTTCTCTTGAGATAGTAAGTTGTTGAGTGCAGTAAATAAATTTGATTCAGAGTTTTTGTTAACTTACATAGTGCCTGCATAGCACTTAGTTTATTAGTAAGCTTTCAATTTTAGTGAATTTAGTGAAATCTTGTTAAATGTCAGTGCCTAATTTTTAAGGTGTCATAATCTGGCTCCAATGATACCTAAATCCAATATTTCTCACTTCTCCCATTCAGGGACACTTGTTTAGGCAGGTGAGTCTCTTAAACATTCTCTTTCAGCCTTTTCCTTGTAAATTTAGCTCACATAGATCATGTTCTTCTCCCACTCCTATGAATTTACTATTTGTGTCACATATTTAGCATTTCAGTGGATGCTCAGAAATGGTGGTATATACCCTTAGTAGGTATCCAATAAACTGTATTGACTGAATGGCAGAAATATCTTATTTTATCCTTATTTTCAACTAGTTAAGAATTTTCATTCCATCCATATTGTCAGTTAACTGAGCAGATAAATAAATAAACAAATACTGATTTGTTTGAATAGACATTTTCAGGTTTTAAAACTTTTCATTTGCTTATTTAAAAAATTGTGCATTCCAGCAATTAAAATCATTTGAATAATAAATAGCACTCTAATTAAACTGTATTTTATTTATTTATTTATTTATTTGGAATCTCACTGTGTCGCCCAGACTGGAGTGCAGTGGCATGCTCCCGGTCACCGCAGTCTCTACCTGCTGGTTTCCTGTGATACTTCCACCTCAACCTTCCAAGTAGCTGGAAATACAGGAGCTCACTACCACACCTGGCTCATTTTTGATTTGTTGTAGAGACGAGGTTCGCCAAGTTGTCCAGGCTGGTCTCAAACCCACAGGCTCAGGCAATTCACTTGCCTCGGCCTCCCAAAGTGCTGGGATTACAGGCTGAGCCACTGAGCCCGGTCCAAACTGCATTTTAAAGCCTACAGGACACGTTGGACCAGCTTGATTTACTCTAGATTTCACTGTCATCCCAAACCTACTTCTTCCTTTACTAGCATGCAAGATCTTTTCCTTCCCTGCCAGCCAGCCAGCCAGTAAAGGGGAGAGGAGGGCAAGGTCTTCTTTGTCAGTAGTTTTTTGATGCAAAAAGAGGCAGGCAGCACAGTCATTTAAACTTGATCCAACCTCTTTGCATCTTGCAGTTAAATAGCTAAATAAGTAAAAAAAGAAGGCAATGCTTGTGGAATGCACAGTGCCTACTAGCGGCACTCGCCTCATTATGATTTGCCTATTTGCTTTTCCTGCTCAATTTTTTCCTTGGAAATGCAGTTTTCTCTTGCATTTCCATTTTCTTAAATTTTGACTTATCAGATTTCTCCATCTCAATCATACTGGATTTGTCAGACATGGTCATGGAGGGAGTGGAGAGTGGCTTTCGAGAACGGGGATCTGGTCTGTGCAGATCAAGATCAACGCTGAATGAATAGATTTCTATTACTGTTTTTTTTGTCTTAGGTATTTTTGGAATTAATGGAGTCAGAAGGACCCTCAGAGAGTTCAGAATTTTTCTCACAGAAGGAAGAGGAAGAAGAAGTCCCAGAGCCAGAGGAAACCACCACAGTGAACCCCCTCTTACAACCTGCCCTCGCAGGGGATGTAGAAGGTTTGCAGAAGATTTTTGAGGATTCTAAGAATCCTCATCATGAGCAGGCCATGCACCTACTCTTAGAAGAAGATGTTATTGGGAGGAATTTGCTCTATGCAGCTTGCATGACTGGGCAAAGTGATGTGATTAGAGCTTTGGCAAAATATGGTGTGAATTTGAATAAAAAAACTGCCAGAGGTATTTTTTCTTTTTTCTCCCATATGATTATCTAACGATGACGGGTAGTATCAAGCTTGCACATATTTGATGTGTCTGCTTTACACTTAGCATATATTATGTGTATATGCATATATATGAGTGTATATATGTTTATATATGTAAGTGTATCAATGTTGACATTTTAAAGCATAGTATTTTAGAACACAGACTTCACTATTTTTTTTTAACAATGTGACTTGGCAAGTACTTGATCTCTTTGTGTCTCTGTTTTTCATCTGCAAATTGGGGGTAATAATTTTGTTTTCCTTATAGAGTGTTATGAGGATTAAATAAAATAACATATATACATTTCAAGTTCTTGACACATAGTAGATTAATAAGTAGTAAATGTTCAATATTATTATCTCTTTCCTTTGAAGATTTATTAGTTTTTAGCAGTCATTATCTAATTGCCTTTTTAAATTTATTTTTTTTCCAGGTTGCAAATATAATACATGGTCATGGTAGAAAATAAAACAATTATCTTCAGCCAATAAAGTATATCCTCTTCATGTTCACATGGGACATTTAAGAAAATTGACCATATATTGGGTCATAAAGAAAGATTCAACAAATATCAAACAGTTTATAGTATATAGTATTTAACTGGTGACCACAACAAAATTAAATTAGAGAATAGTAACAAAGAGATAACAGAAAGCCCTCCATAGTTTTGGAAACAAGAACACATTTTAAATATTCTATTGGTCAAAGAAGATATAATGAAAATTAGAAATATTTAAATGACAGCAGGATCTCTATATGTCAGAACCTGACAGATAAACCTAAAATTAAAATTCTAGCTTAATCCATATGTTAGAATATAAGAAACATTAAAAATTAGTAGGCAATGCATTTGACTCAGTAAGTTATAAAATGTACAACTGAGTAGGAGAAAGTAGAAGAAAAATAATGAAGTAAAATAATGACATTGATCACAATACCAAAATTTGTCTCAGTGAAAAAGATAGGGTTAAAAAACCTTTGATAATATTAATCAGAAAGAGACAGAGAGTTCAAATAATATTTAGAATTGAAAAAATGGAACATTAACACAGAACATAATTAAGATAAAAAATCTTGAGAAACTTATGAACAACTTAATATGTTTGACAATATATTTGAAATCTTGGATGAAATAAACAAATTTCCAATTAAATATAAATTACTAAAATTGATTCAAGAAAAAATAGAATTCTTGGCTAGATCACTGGTTATAAATAAATTGAATAAGTTACAAAAATCTGCCTTCCTAACCCCTGGCTCCTCATCGAATTCCATATTCAAATGTTTTTAAAGATAAAGACTATTCAAGTTTTAGGAGAAAAGGTAATCCTTAGTTTATAGAAATGTTCTGGAAAATATCTGGAGAGTTGGCAAGTTGTCCGAATTATTTTACTTTAGCAAAATTGGATTAACGACAGTACTACAGAGGAAATTTATAGGCTGATCAAAAAATTTTTTTTTAAATTTTGAGTCAGAATCTTACACTGTTGCCCAGGCTAGAGTGCAGTGGCATGCTCATGGTCGCTGCAGTCTTGACCTGCTGGGCTCAGGTGATCTTTCTGCCTCAACCTTCCAAGTAGCTGGAACTACATATATAAATCACCATGCCCAGCTAGTTTATTTATTTATTGAAGAGATGAGGGCTTGTCAAGTTGCCTAGATTTGTCTGGGTTCAGGCATTACTTTCGCCTCTGCCTCTCAAAGTGCTGGGGGTTATAGTTGTGAGCCACCATGTCCACCAGACATATTTAATAACATAGATACAAGTATCCTAAATAAAATACTAACAAATTGAATCTAAGAATGTATATTAAAGAATTTGTTGGAGACTAGATTTTACTTGTTCTCACCAAATAAATAAATCTGTGAGATGAATATGTTAATTAGCTTGATTTTGCTATTCTATAATGCAAAAATATTTCAAAACAACTTCTTGTGCATGATGAATCTATGCAATTTTAATTTCTCAATTAGAAATCAATAAATAATTTTCATCATATACACAAAAACTTATTGGACTAAGTTGGGCTTATGCCATGAATGAAAGTATGGTTTTAACATTACAGAAATATTAGTGTAATTCACTATAATAAAAGATTAAGCAAAATATGATCATATTAATAGATATAGAAAAGTCACTTTAAAAAATGTAGCACTCATTCATAATGAACACTCTCAGGGAAACTGGAATAGAAGAAACTTCTCTTAAGGTTGTCTATCAAAAATCTGAAGCATACTTACCCAATATTGAATTTTTCAGAAACATTATTTAAAATTAGAAACAAGATCAGGTGCAGCAGCCCAGGACTTTGGGAGGCTGTTGAAGGAGGATTGCTTGAGCCCAGTAGTTCAAGACCAGCCTGGGAAACATAGGGAGACATCATCTTGACAAAAGATAAAAAATCTAAAACTTAGCCAGGGGTGGTGGTGCTCACTTGTAGTCCCAGCTACTTGAAAGGCTGAGGCAGAAGGAACACCTGAGCCCAGGAGGCCGAGGCTGGTAAACTATGATTGTGCCACTGCCCTTCAACCTGGGTGATAGAGACTCCAACTCAGAAAAAAAGAAAAAAGAAAAAACAGAAATAAGATTATGATATTCACTATCACTGCTATCATTTATCCTTTTAATAAAGTTTCTAACAAATGTAGCAAGACAAGAAGAATAAGGAAAATAGCACAGCACTATGCTTGCACCAGCTTTTACCAGCTCTGAAGAACTAATTGATAAACAATTTTAGGGGTTTTGAGAACCGGTTGACATCATGTTGGTACTTGAAATTGTCCATACCAGGCTGGGCTTGGTGCCTCAGCCTATAATCCTAGCACTTTTGGAGGCTAAGGTGAGTGGATTGCCTGAGCCTGCGGGTTCGAGAGAAGCCTGGACAACTTGGCGAGACCTCATCTCTACAATAAATACAAAAAAAATTTAATCAGGCATGGTAGTACGCACCTGTGGTTCTGGCTACTTGGAAGGCTGAGGTGGAAGGATTGCTGGAGCCCAGATGGGGTGTCCGTGATTGTGCCACTGTATTCCAGCCTGGGCAATGGAGTGAGAATCTAAATCAATAGAAAGAGAGAGAGAGAGAAAAGAAAGAATAGAGGAAAGAAGGAAGGAAGGAAGGAAAGAAGGAAGGAAGAAAAGAAAGAAAAGAAAGAAGAAAGAAAGAAAGAAAGAAAGAAAGAAAGAAAGAAAGAAAGAAAGAAAGAAAGAAAGAAAGAAAAAGAAAGAGAAAAGAATCCATACCAGGCCATATATATTATGTTAATTGGGTGATGGTAATTAAGGCTTCTCCCTCCAGAGAATGTTTTATAAATTTACTAGCACACTACTAGGTACAAGAATTAGAGTAAAAGAAACAAAACTCTTGTTATCCATAGGCACATAGACTTAAATTCAAGACAGTCTACTATCAGTACTAATAGCGTTTAGCAAGAATATGAACATAAGACCAATATCAGTGACTTTCCAAGTACCATCAACACTCAGAAAATGAAATACAAATAAATATCTTGTTAATAACAAAATGATACAGAAACTAGTAATAAATCTGAAAAATAATTGAAAGACATTTATAGCAAAAAGTAGAAAACTTACTGAAATGTATCAAAGAATATCCAAAGAGTGTGTGTGTTGTATGTATATATATCTCAGATGACGATATCTTAATGATGTCTCTCTTAACTTCTTCCAAATTAATTTATCAATCTAATTAATTTCCCAGAATTTTTTTTTTTTTGAGTTGGAGTCTTACTCTGTCACCCAGACTGGAGTGCAGTGGCCGCTCTTGGCCACTGCAGCCTCGTCTTGCTGGGTTCCAGTGATCCTTCCACTTCAACCTTCCGAGTAGCCAGAATTACAGGCATGTGCTAACACGCCTGGCTGATCGTTTTATTTATTGTAGAGATAAGGTCTTCCCAAGTTGCCCAGGCAGGTCTCAAAACCGCGGGCTCAGGCAATTCACTCACCTCCGTCTCCCAAAGCGCAGGATTACAAGCTGAGACACAGACCAGTGAAAAATTTTTTTAAAGTGCAAACTAAGAAGCTGACCTTACATTTCAGAGGGAAATGGTGAACGATTTATTTTATGATTCCAGAGAATGTGGGTTATTCATCTGAAAAAAAAAGCAAAATTATAAACCTACTTTGTACCATACATAAAAATCAGTAACAGGTACTTTCTAAGATATAAATGTGAAAAGCAAAAGTTATAAACTTTCTGAAAAACAAATAGAGGAATATTGTTAGTTCTTATTTTATCACAGGATTTCTGTTTTTTATAATCAATATTTTTTATTATGATATTGTGGGGTACAGTTAAGGGTTAGGTATACAAATATGTTTCATTCAGGCACCCTTGTGGATAAGAGGTGTTTCCCCATCCCCAGACAGATATTTACTGCCGTTGATCCCATCTCCCTCCCCTCTACATAGTTTTCCACTACTGTCAGTCATTTTTTCTTTTTTTACAATCAATATTTATATTATGATTTGTGGGGTACAGTTAAGGGTAAGGTATACAAATACGTTTCATTCAGTACTCTATTAATAAGAGGTGCTTTCCCATCCCCAGACAGATATTTGTTACCGTTAATACCATCTCCCTCCCCTCCATAGTTTCCCACTACTGTCAGCCATTTTCTTATAGTATTAGGTTGGATGTTCAAGGTTCATTATATGAGAACATGTGATACTCGGACATTTGTTTTTGTGAGAGGCCACTCAGTATTATAAACTCTCGTTTCATCCAGGTTGCTGCGAAATTCATGATTTTGTTCTTTTTTATGGCTGCGGAATATTCCATCGTGTATATGTACATTTTTTTAATCCAGTCCTCCTTTGATGGGCAGCATGGTTGCTTCCAGGTTCTTGCTACTGTGAACAATGCTGCGATAAACATACATGTGCAGGTATCTTTTATATAGAGTGATTTGAGTTCTTCTGGATATATTCCCAGTAGGGAGAATGCAGGGTC